CCCACCTCAATTTCTGACTTGAGGATGTCCAGCATCATTTAGCCTTTCCTCCTAAGGGCTCATTCACACTTGACTAATTTCTAACTCTTGCCAAACACCCCTATAGAGTTTGACAGGCGTTAGGCAGGTGTTTGGGAACTGTTTTTAATGCTTCTCAAACGCTCCTCAAACACCCTATGCGCTTTTTTGGGGCATTTCATAGGTGTTTGTCAAGTGTTAAAACCGCACCACAAACTCCTATAATGAAGTTTAATGGTATTAACACTCCACAAACGCCCTGCAAATGCCTGCCAGGCGTTTGAGGAGTGTCACCATAGACTTGAATGGGAGGCTTCGACGCCTCCTGACTGGACTTGAGGCGTCAATTTTGCTGCGACACTAACGCTTCAGTGTGAACAGCACTGTGTGCTGCCATGTGCAGAATTGTCGGCGTTAAAAACTCTTCCCAAACGCCTGTCTAACGCCTGCTAACAAAGCTAGTGTGAACGTAGCCTAAGCCTAACTGTCCCTGACCCACCCCTTCATTGGATTTCAGGTATTTCAGTCATGGGGTTCAGCATTAAATGTGAGCGTTACCTATGGCAGTCTCTATGCAAATAAAGCCTGACAAGCAATGCCCACTTTTCCAGACTGGCATCCACTCATCAAGGCATTATGATGTTTGCATAACTCCTCCCAAGATCCAACCCACTACTTGCATCAAGGCTGAGAAGAGTACTGAGGCAGGGTGTCGTAATGTTTTCAGAAAACTATGTACAACCCTTCTGGCCCTTCCCACCAGCTTTGATCTGTTTGCGTTGAATAGAGAAGCACAGAGACCCAGTATAAAAAAAGGTATATAATGAAAACGGGTTTTATATACAGTTTGATTAGCAGGAGATGAGAAGGAAAAATGGGCCAGACAAGGCAAAATATAAGCGGATTAAACTTCAGCTTTAATAAAGGCTTTTTCACAAAACTGGGAATCTGTTGGTTATTGGGACTTTGATCTCTTCATTGAATGACATCTGCTCACATTTTTCAGCCAATTATTAATGAAGTAATAGGGCATGGAGCCAAGTCACTGGTTGGCTACATGTGTACATATAGTATCCTTATGTACTTGTCTGCACCTACTCAGAATCTGCTCTACAAACCACCACAAAGCCATTTTTAAAAATATGTGCCTAACTTGCTTGTAGCTACTTTAAAGCCACAATTACTGGGGATGCAGATGATCTATAGAAAAGGCACAAAATGATGTAAAATTATTGCATAACTCCTAAAAGAGACCCTGTCACCAGACCATTCTTTTCAACAACATTCTTTCTATAAAGTTATGTGCATTTAACATTTTTTATGCATATATTTGACCTGTAAAAGCTTCCCTTGTGTAGATCTCAAAAAGTTCTGAGACTGCTGCTGGGCACCACCATCTTGGATGTGATGTCAGCAGCCCCAGTAGACTCAGAACTGTCACTCAAGGGGCCCTCTATAGAGGGAGGTGATGGAAGGGTGGAGTAGCTGGGCCAGCAGAGACAGTATTTATTTATTTCAGGTACTTATATAGCGCTGTCAGTTTACACAGCACTTTACATATATATTGTACATTCTCATCAGTCCCTAACCCTCAAGGGGTGTACAATCTAAGATCCCTAACTCACATTCATACATACACATACTAGGGTCATACTAGACAGGATCCAATTAACCTACCAGCATGTCTTTGGAGTGTGGGAGGAAACCGGAGTACCCGAAGGAAACCCACGCAGGCACAGGGAGAACATGCAAACTCCAGGCAGGTGGTGCCGTGGCTGGGATTCAAACCAGCGACCCTAGTACTGCCAGGCAGAAGTGCTAACCATTTAGCCACTGTGCTGTCCAGCAATTAGATACTCCAAGAAGAGGAGAGGGCTCCTTTCCTGGAGTAGTCAAATTTCCTAGCAAGTTCAAAGGCACATTGCAAGTTAACAGGAAAAAAAAAAATTATAGAAAGGAAAAACGTTACAAATAAGCATGAACATGCTTGGTTTTTCAATGCTTTACCTGCCATTTTGTTAAGCTGGGGACAGGTTCTTTTTTACAGTGCAATGTTCCATGCTGAGATACAAATCAACTAGATACACACAGGGCACTCTAATCCAATAACCATAAAGACTGGCATTCCGTCACAAGTTTCTACATTTCGGGTCAGTTATGGCCATTTCTCAAGCCAGGTCCCCATTATATGCAGAAAACATACCAAGATTTCAGTCAAGGTTAACCCTGCCCTCATCCTGACTTGGGCCCACCCAGTGATTGGGAAGTCCCCCACCAGACACTGCCTTCTTAGTAGAGTTGTCCACCCAAACCTGGCTTCTAATTGTGAGGACAGTCCCCTCAAAGCCCCCGGTCATCGTAATAAATGTCTTTATGAGTTAAGTGCATGAGCAGTAACCGGAGTAAAGGTGACAGTGTTATCCTGGGACATGGCCTGAGACACAGTCCCATAGAGACTGAGATCCAAGATGTGGGACTATACAACAGCAGAGATGGTGCTGCTAAACCTCAAAAGCCAACAGCAATCATCAGGATGGAATAGAGAAGAGTGTGCCTGGATGACCGCAGTACTATAGTGTTTTGGTATCCAATGTGAGAGTGACAATCCAGCACCACAGCTTCTCCAGAAATATAAAAATGTAGCTTTATTTCATACATCATATAATTACATAGTTAGTCTGGCTGAAAAAAGACAAAAGTCCATCCAGTTCAACCATTAAAAAAAAAAAGTTCTAATCCTACACCCTAAGAGGAAGAAATAAAAAAAACCCCAGCAAAGCATGATCCAATTTGCTCCTGCAGGGGAAAAAATTCCTTCCTGATCCCCGGAGAGGCAATCGGATATTCCCTGGATCAACTTTACCTATAAATGTTAGTATCCAGTTATATTCTGTGTATCCAAGAAAGAATCCAGGCCTTTTTTAAAGCAATCCACTGAGCTGGCCAGAACCAACTCTTGAGGGAGTCTATTCCACATTTTCACAGCTCTTACTGTGAAGAAACCTTTCCGTGTTTTGGAGATGAAATTTCTTTTCCTCCAGATGTAAAGAGTGCCCCCTTGTGTTCTGTGATGACCTCAGGGTGAATAACTCTACACCGAGTTCACTATATGCACCACTGATGTATTTATACATGTTGACCATATCCCCCTTAATCTCCTCTTCTCAAGAGAGAATACATTCAGTTCCTCTAATCTTTCCTCATAGCTGAGCTCCTCCATGCCTCTTATCAGTTTAGTTGCCCTTCTCTGTACTTTCTCCAGTTCCCCGATGTTCAGATAAAAGAAGAATCAGTACCAATGCATGATGTGGGATTGTGCTGGCAAATCCAGGACAGTTGGCATCTATGAGAGGATAGAAAACTTCTGATAAATGGGCTAGTCTGCAAGTAACACATACAATGACAGTATAAATTGTATAATAAAAGAAAAACCCTCTTTTGCACTGCCTGACTCTCCGTACTAAACGTGCGAGAGCTGCTTCTAGCACCGTAATGTGTCCTCACATCAACAAATATCAAAATAAAAAATAGTTCTGCGCTGTTCACACTTGGGCTGCTTTCACACCGAGGAGTTTTTCAAGCATTTTTTCATTAACAAAATGCGCCTGAAAAGCTCAAGAAAACTGCTTCCCTATGTATGTTTTATGTATGTATATCTATGTATGTTTTATGTATGTATATCTATGTATGTTTTATGTATGTATATCTATGTATGTTTTCACACTGAGACTTTGCGCTTGCGGTGTAAAAACAAAAATGCCTCTTCCCATTGAAAACAATAAAAAATGCCTGAAAAGCGCCTTAAAAATGCCTCTGAGAAGAGTTTTTGTTGCAATTTTTAAGTCACGTGTCCTTTTAAAAACGCTCCGTGCGGCAAAAACACCTATACATTTTTGCTGTGTTTTTGCAGCGGATCAGTGTGAAAGTAGCCTTAAAGTGGAGTTCCATCCAAAAGGGTAAGTTCTGCTTTAAGACCTCCTGCGCCCCTCCTCTACCTAACTTGGCATGTCATTTTGGAGGGGGGTGGGGGTTAGGAACCTAGTTTTGACAGGTACCCGCTCCCACTTCCGCTTGCCTAGGCGATCAGAGAGGAAATTCTCCTCCTGCCCCCCTCTCTGCAGTCTTCTGGGAGCTGTCATGTGACCATTCACAAAGCGCAGCATGACTCGCGCATGCGCAGTGGGCACCTGGCTGTGAATCTGAAAGCCGCACAGCCGTCTGCCCACAGTTAGGATGCTGGCGCCGGGAACCCAGAGGCTAGTGAAGAACTAGCCCGGGTGAGGATGGCGCTGGATCCTGGGACAGGTAGGTGTCCATTTATTAAAAGTCAGCAGCTATAAGATTTGTAGCTACTGACTTTTTTTACATTTTTTTTTTTTTTACAGACTGAACCTCCACTTTAAAAATTTTTTTTAACAGTAAATAACATACAGCCCTCCTAACACATGTATCAAAATGAAACCGTGCAAAACCAAAATACTAAGTGAAAAGGTATATAATCATATTTCTACATATATAGATAAAACATGATAAAGATAAATATGAATAAACAGCAAACAGACATGCTAACACCTGTATAACAATGGAATAGTAATGATGATGTAAATCATTCAAATGATCACTAAAGTAAAATTAAACTAAACACATATAAAAAAGGGAATAAAATACCAAAGAAATTTCAATAAATGCCCCGTTGCCCTGCTAGTACATACATAGAGCAACTTTATCATGTTTTATCTGTATATGCAGTATTCTGATATTATACCTCATCACTTAGTAGTTTTCTTACATGTCAATACATGTGTTAGGAGGGCTGTATGGTATTTACTGTTAAAGTGTAAATTGTATGCAGACAGATGAATAAGAGTTTCTATCAGAGACACAGACAATGAACAGGTACATTGGTGAAAATTGTATTCAGTCATTCCTGAAAAATGTCTCTGCAGTGGAGTTATGTTTTTAAATCTAATGTTTCTGTGCAGGTTGTGGACTAAATAATTCCCCTGTTGGACTGGCAGCTTACATTCTAGAGAAGTTCTCCACTTGGACAGATCCTGATTTCCGAGACCATGAGGATGGAGGCCTGGAGAGGTACATATGGAAAAGCCAATGTGGTGGGAGGGGCTAAGAGAAAACCGGGAGGCAGGAATTCACCCCGAATTGCATAACTCACCAATCTCTAGGCTGGTCCCTTTTTTTTATTTAGGATTTCTTGGCCACAGCAAGCCTTGGCAGGATTGTGATAGCCGGTTCAGTGTGGCTTCATTCCATGTATAGCACACCGCAGTGACATAGTTGTCAGAGAATGAGACTCAGCATGTGGGGAGGGAGACAGGCCTCCAACATTCCCAAGAATTGTGAAGTTTCTGATGGAGGTTGCAGCACAGAAATGGAGAGGAAGTAGGAAACCGGGTGAGTATACTATCTATCCAATAGGGTGATGCGTTTTGAGGAGTTGCCTCTTCTTTAGGGCTCTGAGGAAGAGGCAAGTCCTCGAAACGCGTCAACCTATTGATTGTCTACACTCCCTATTGCAGACTGTTACTCAGCGCGTTGTTGACCCAGCTGTTCTTTTATGACATGCCTTGACTTTATTGTCCTTTGTGAGTACAACACCTACTTTTATTTCTTCTTAAACTTTTTTTATGGTAATGCCTTAGGCATGTGTGCCCTCTGTTTGTTCTTTCCTCATTCAGTATATTTGGATTTCCCCGGTCTATTGAGGGCAGCAAGGTGTGCATGTTCCAGGACATTCTTAATGTGGTTGTAGCCTTCATCGAGTCCATACCCAAGCGCAGGAGCATTTGTGTTTGCTGGTTCTGAGTATACTGTCTGTTCTATTGCAGGAGACTGTCAGTAGTATTTTTCAGCAACCGACAGGGTCTCTTTAGAGTAATGAAAGTGGTTGTAAACCACTGAACTGCAAAATGAACAAAGCATAGCCTTCTGTTCCTTCCTCTGCTATTTGCATGAATCACTTCTGACAGTTTTACGCAGAAACCAAGGGATTCTGGGACAGCTCCACCCCATCTCCAGCACACAGCAGGTGATTGACAGTATCAGCTGTGCATGTTTCCCTATGAGACTGCGTAGGAGGGGAGGCGTGTCTATTCTCTGCACTCAGGATTCAGATTACACTCAGCTCCCTGCTTTGTGCTGTGGAGTGTGTGACATCAGATCCTGTCCCCTACCTTCTGAAACTCAGACAAGCTGTGTAAAATTGTGTACTTTGAATTGATATAAAGGAGAAAGGGCTACAGATTTATTTATTAATTATAGGTACTTATATAGTGCCGTCAATTTACGCAGCACTTTACATATATATTGTACATTCACATCAGTCCCTAACCCTCAAGGGGCGTACAATCTAAAGTCCCTAACTTTCATTCTTACATACACATACTAGGGACAATTTAGACAGGAGCCAATCCACCTACCAGCATGTCTTTGGATAGACAGATACAACTTATGCAGGAGGATTTGTTTCATCTCTGTATCACCTGAGGCTGGTCACTTCACTGGGTAGATGTAAGGGTTTACAACCACTCAAACACCCCTCTAGATTTATACATGTTATCTAAACACGTAGGCAGCCATTATTGATTATTGCATATGCAGGCTCTCCTTCCTAAATGTGCTTTGGTGATTTCCGCATCTCATTGCAAGTCCACCAGATAGAATCTGTTCTAAACTGCGTGCAGCCACAATCATCACAGGTAATCGCTGCCTCTGCAGGCAATCGTGAAAATCTGGGGTCGCCCTCAGCCTATCGTGGCACTGTACAGGTCTGGTGGCTATCCACACACACGTCAGTCCCAGCCACAGGAATCGGTAGATTTTTGTTGCTGGGATTGGCAACATGGCTAGAAGCTTGTGTGAATACAGCTGTGTGTTGAATTTGCTATCGTTTGGACAGGATAGAAATTGCCTGACCCTTGCTACCTGTATGGCCTGCTCCAGGCTCTATGTCAGGAATGGATTCACCACTGATGGTGGGGATGGACTTGGTGCGAGACTGAAACCAGGTCGCGACCCCTGAGTGCACCCAACTGTGGTAGAGGGGTCCCGCCGAGGGTATGTGCCGGGGCGGGGGTTGAGCCTGCTGTGAAGAGGCTGACAAGTCCAGGTCCCGAGCGGGATGGATGGATGACAGTCAGGAATGAGCGTAGTCAGACTAGCCAGGTCGGTAATGGTGGAGGCAGGTAGGTACCAAACAGTAGACAGAGAGCAGCCGGGTCACGAGCCAAGGTTCAGCAATGGGAGGTTCAATAGTAATATAACAACAGGCAGGAGAGTAGTCAGGGACGAGCCGGGGGTCACAGCAGGAGAAGGTCAACACAAATCAGCACAAGCAGGATCGGCAACAGGAACACACTTCAGAACACGGGTGCAGGAACTAGACCTTGCGGCAACCTAGTCACCATCTCGCAGTTTAAATAGTGCGCTCTGGTGCAATTGCCCCCGCCGCCGCCCAGGTCCTAGTGCCTGCACATTAGTGCACCTAGGCAATCTGTGTATGTGCAGACCTGTGCACCACTGCAAGACCCGCAGTCCCTGACATGCCCCCCCCCCCCCTACAGACAGCCTCCAGATGCCCAACCGACCCCTCCTAGACAGCTGCTTCTGAAAGAATTCCCGAACGAGTCTTCAGTGGTGAATCCATTCCTGACACTCTATAAACCCTGTGCAGGTCCATCCAGCCACTTTATACTGAAATATGTTACACCCAGTTCTGCTCAGTCTGACAATTTGAATTCATTCTTACTCACTGTTCTCCTGTGTTCCAGGAAATTCACTTTGGACGACCTTTTGACCAATCTCATGATTTATTGGCTGTCTGGCTCCATTGTCTCCTCCATGAGGTTCTACAAGGAAAATGTGGGAAAAGGAATTGGCCAGGCCAAACATGACAAGTATGTGATGGGTAGAGATGGCGGGAGAAAATGTATATATTGTCCCTATTTAAGCGAATCTAGCTCCATGTATCTTTTTACAGTAAGTGCAGCATGCTAAGTAGGTGAGTATGTAGGTGTGTAAGACTTCTGGGTATTTATTGCCACACATACTGTAGGTCACAGTGACAAGGGCTTCATCTATGTTTATATCCAGAAGGACAGAACCATCATTGTTCAGCATCATCCAATATCAGTGTCTATGTTCCGGACTAAGACGCTGGCTCCCAGTTATATAAATTCTGGTGCCTGTGAATGTCTTGGCTGTCTACACAATTGTCTGAGACAGATCAGCTCCTGCTGCAGCCTCTTACCTTGTGACTTCTGCTATGAAAGTACAAGCTGCAGTCTGCTCATTGAGGGTTGGGAAGGGGGCTGAGGAAATGCTTCGTCTTGCCTGCAGCAGGCTGGTAATGTTATTTCACCCTAGGCAGAGGAGTTCAATGACTGTTTTTTGTTTTGTTTTTTTTTAGATGAAATATATTTTAGTTCTATATTGTGACATATCAGGAATTTATTCATGCAGAGATTAAGTTCCCTTTAAATGGCACAGGGCCCTTCCACACTCTGCTGGCTGGAGGTATACTTTTTGTTCAATATACTAACCTGAAATTCAGGTTTGGTCAAGCTTTGTCTCTCCCTATGCTGAGGAACTAGGAACAGTAGACTGGCATACCCCCAAATTTCTGATATCGGAAAGGCTGATGCATTGTCGTACAAAGTTTGTAGGCAAAGGGCACACCCCTTCCATGTCCTCGTTACACCAACTATGAAGCATTACGCCAAAAAAAATTATTAGTTATGCTGACAAGTACTTTTTTCCCACCACAACCTTTCATTTATTGTGGCATTTCAAAATCACAAATGCAAAAAGCTGAAGGTAGATATAACAGACACAAATGAATGCAGATCTATAATCAATCTTCATTGAATGTATTATTTAAATGTAAGCTGTGATGGTCTCAGAATTTGACTTGGCATCAGCCTCCTACAGTCCTGTACAGCAGGATTGAGTGTGAGAGGAAGAAGCAGTACAAGGAGCTAATAGATTTGTGTGCTGACAAGGAGAATGCTGATAGGAGGAGAGAACAGAGTGAGCGAGAGATGAGCTCATCACTGCTGCTTCTCATTTCACTGTCCAATCACAGACTGGGGGCAGGTCCAGGATACCCTGGGCTCACAGGAAGTATGCCAAATAATGATGGCTTGCAGACTGAGGGCATCTGTGAAGGAAATCTCTGGACTGAAGCTGAGTGTTGCAAGAAAAGTTATTTTTGTTTGTGTTTTAATGGGCTAATCATTTTTATCTTGTTTTTTTTTTTTTTTTTTTTTTTTACTAAAGTTCTGCTGTAAAGATGAAAGGATAAATATGGAAATGAACTTTCTAGGCTCAAAAACTCAGTACACGAAAAGATAAAATCGAAAAGGGCAGGTCCCCCCAGGCCAAACACAAGGAGAGCAATCTCCAGAGGCCAGGTATGGGGGTGCAAAAACTGGGCTTAGGGCGGGCGAAGGACCCATGAGGTTCCTCAAAAACTAATACTTTCCACGTGTTGAATCACAGGGCTACAAGCTAAGAATAATAAACCAGGAAAGGCCTTGTAATATAGTAGATGGATAGGCCCATTAGGGCTAATATGTATATAGTCCCTCACCGGGGAACAGAGAGTAAACAGCCCTGAAAACAATCCAAGGATCTTGTCCTCCGTAAGAGGTAGAAAGGCCTGTAGGCCAGTAATTGACAGTATGCACGACTCGCGAGAACATCTTTGAAGGGCGCTTGGGCCGCGGCCATGGGCTAACTGTGCAATGATATTATACAAGATACATTTTAGAGGTGATATGATGTCAATAAAGAAACATTGATTTTATCTTTTCATGTACTGAGTTTTTGAGCCTAGAAAGTCCATTTCCATATTTTTCCTTTCAAAATTCTACAGTATACAGGGACGTGGCACTTTGTTACTAACCTGGTTTTGACCTCCTACCACCCGAGGGTCACCCCAACTTTCCAATATACTACTGCTTTAAAGATGGTTGAAAGGAGCTAGGGGCTGGGAGTATGTGCTGGGAAGCTAACCCTTTGTCTACCAAGGTAAATTTTAAAAACTCCTGGTATTCAAGGGGTTAAAGCAAGCTCACAGCTGCTGCTACAGCCATGATCCTGGTGCAGATTTGTTCAGAGCCAACTATGGGCTTTAAGGTAAAAGTGATCCGGAGGCTCTAGAACACTTTTAAGAGGCTCTGAAGGTGTGGCCATCGACGACCTAAAATTAATTTACATTAAAGCTGGTCATGGATGGAATCTTGGCCAGTTCAGCAGGGACCAGCCGAGATTCGATCAATCTATGGGCAGGCTGGTTGTACTGAAGTCCATCCATCAATCGACCTCAGACCTGTTAGATTTTTTTCATGCGATTACTGCCAGCAGCTAAAGCCGCCAGCAGCGATCATTACGGTGTTCTGCTGGCAGGGAAGGCTCCCTTGCTCTGTGAAAGGTTGTTCCCGATCAACACTGACTGTGTTAATGGGGGAAGCGAGCAATTTTCTTTCCTTCCACCTATTGTGGAAGATAAGAAAGTTGCATATTCTAAGGGCTTTACAGGTGTGCCCACCGAGTGTGCAGTATGAACTCTATGTAACTTCTGCTATCCTGTTCCACAACCGGAACAAACCTGAGTCGAACAGAATGGCTCTCAGCCATTCATAGGCAACTTTGTATTCTCTGAATCAATACAAAGCTTCCTCTGATCGGCAGAGGCCGAGATCATGACATCAACCACCTGCCTTTCTGCCTCAACCACTCAGAGGAAAATTTGTATTCATTAAGAGAATACAAAGCTGCCTATGAATTGCTGAGAGCTGCTCAGACCCACTCAGGTTTGTTCCGGGTGTGGGACAAGATGTTTTCATTTCACAGCTCGAACAAAATGCTGTATACTGTATGTATCTGAGGCTGCATACAGTTTATAGGACATGCCCAGCAGGCGCACCTGTTACTGTAGGAAATTGTTTGGGCCAGCTTGACCTAAACAAAGTATTTCAAGTGGCAGTAAATCTGGAGATCAGCTATAATTATAAATTGGTAACCTATAAAAGCTCTAAAAGCATCACCTATGAAAAATTTTTGGTATCGTAGTTTATTGTGATTTCATGGGCAGTTTTATGGCTTGACATGTTTGGTATCTATTTAATCAATAATGTAATGCCATCTTTTCTATTATATGAAAAAATGGGTTTTAGTGTAACTTTTTTGAAAATTGCATTTGATAAACAGCTGCTCATATATCAAGAACTGTAAAAAATGGCACCATTTTATTCTTTAGGGTCTCTGCTTTCAGGAAATATATATATTTGTCTGGGGGTTTAAAATGATTTTCAGTAAAAATTGCAGGTTTTAACAAGTGCAAAAAATTGTAAAAAATGCCCTGGTAGAAAAGTGGTTATTGCTGCAACTTGTAGTTCTTTGACAAGTGAAGTGCACAAGGCTATCCGTTGTAAAATTGTCTCCATAACTCGTAAGCTCTTTTCATAAGACAGATTGTGGCTTTTCACAGTTCACTGAATGCCTCCTGTCTTTCTTTCTCTCTCTTCTACTAATGTCTTGCAGAGTCCCCGTCAAGGTCCCCACAGGCATCGCCTTGTTCCCCAACGAGCTGTTGCTTTGTCCTCTCCTGTGGGCCAAACAGAAGTACGTCAACATCATCTCTTTTAATCACATGCCCCGAGGGGGCCACTTTGCTGCCTTTGAAGAGCCAGAAATTCTGGCAAAAGATATCCAACAATTTGTAGCAAAAATGGAACAAAAATAACTGTGTCCTAAATAATGCAATAGAGGAAACAGAGTGCAAGGAGGACCTGTATTATTTGAAGAACCATTACTTTCATATTGTCGAGTGCTTTTTTTTTTTTTTTTTTTTTTTTAAGAAATTATAGTGAAAATGTTATAGTCCTTATCCTGCAGTAGGTTGTGTTTTGTACCAATATATAACATTTCTAGAATCTGCTTGCTATTTCTTGGTAATATATGTATATACATCAGAGGTTTATTTCTTGGGGGGGGTTTTGTTTTTGTAATTGAAGAACTTTAATAAATGTTTAAAGTACATTAAACATAATCACTGAAATCGCATATGTTTTATTGTGTGAATATCATTTCAATAGTTGTTTTCAATTTTTTTTTTTAGATCTACAGCTTCCATTAAAGTAATACTTGGTGATCCTGCCATGAAGTGCTTTGTTCAGGCACTTCTGCTACAGGGTGATAGCGCACTGTCTCAGTTGTGCTTCTGTGTTGTCACGCTGTCACACGTACCCCTGTAGCCATGCTGACACATATTTTGCTGACCTGGTTTACTGTTGTCATTATAAGAAAGCTGGTCCAGTGCAGGGACATAGAGCTGATGCTGGAGTGAGTGCATGTAGTCAGGAGGTGTCAGCAGGAGATCACCACTGAGAGGCAACAAAGGACAAATACAGTGAAAACGGTATTTTATGAAAAAAGGCAATTATTTATGATGGTGCTTTAGCATACTAAATACCATCCAGCTAAGGTTTAGATCTATTTAACCGAAACCTGTTGCCACCTATGTAACACATTTGTTCAGTGGCAAAAGGGTGGGCATTAATGATCATTCCAACACTTTTACTCTGACAGAGAGAGAATCCAAGGAAATAACCAAACTTCAAGTCATCCTTGAAAAGTAAGGCTGTGCTATTATTATAACGTATTATTTATTATTATAATAAATAATAATAATTATAACTTAGGAACATTGGTTCAGATTACAAATACCTAGGCGTAATTTGGTTCAATTAAAGTGGTTCTAAAGGCTCAAGGATTGTCACCTTCATGCATATCCTATGCATGAAAGTACAAAACCTTCTTTTGTGCAGTGCTCCCCCCAGCCCTCCCCCCCCCCCCCAATCCTTACCTGAGCCCCCTCCGATCCAGAGATTTTCAAAATGTTATATATCAGTGTCACAAAATATACATCATAAATCAAACTGAATACAATGTGTATAGAAATAAAGTAGCTCCGGCCGATATGTTTCGTCCTCAATAGACGCGACCCTAAGAAGATGTCTTTTGATAATGAAATGCATTGACTGGAGCTACGGACTGACGTCATCGCGTTCTCAGAGTTGGAGTATTGATGCTTGCTTTTGTGTATCTACATGTACATGTTGTTTTTAACTAATGTGAGTACAGTTGTAATAAATAAATAAATTATTTTTGAGGATTTTTACGCTGTGGAGAGGCTCTCTTCCTTTTTTTTTGCCTCACATGATAACCTCATAAGGGGAGGATCTGCTGCTGTTTATTAGTGGTACTTCTATATGCTATCGGGGTTGCTGTACGAGTATTTCCATGATTGGAGGATAACTCATAAATCACTCCTTGACCATTTCCATTTGGTTAACACAAGCTGGTAAGCGAACATTCCATAACCACTTGTGGGTGAAGGTGTTGGTCACTGACACTTCATATCAAATTGGAGGAATTGCATTCTTTCACATTGCTGCACTGGTGAATAGTGGATGGGATGTTCTCTCTTCTTCGCATGGACGACTTCTTGCTATATAAGGACTTTATTTATATACACATTGTATTCAGTTTGATTTGTGATGTGTATATATATTTTTATGAAACTGATATATAATTCTGTGGCGCAACACATTTATATTTACACAGTTTGAAAAAGGGATATCCTTTTTTTTTTCTGTGTTTTGCTGCTTGTTTTATATTACTTGTAGGGGGGGTACGGCTGCTCGGCTATTTATTTATATTTGATTTTCACAATAGCCTTAGCCGTATGGGGACTTTTGGATGAGACAGCGGCGGGAACCCATTGGCTCTCACTGCTGTCAACCATAGTCAGTGAACCAATGAGGAGAGAGCAAGGGGGTTCTTATAGATGGCTCGGGAGTAAACAGGCAGCAGTGCCCCCAGGGCAAGCAGCTTTCACTGGGGGCACTGGCCGAGGGGGAGGTGCCAGAAGCGCTGGCGGGGGACCCGAAAAGAAGAGGATCGGGACAGCTATGTGTAAAACTACTACACAGAGCAGGTAAGTATAACATGTTTGTTATTGTATAAAAAAAAAAATGAAGCTTTAGTTTCACTTTAATGACTTTTAGGCCTCATGCACGCAGGATGCTTTAAAAAACGCTGCTCCTGTTGGCAGCAGCGTTTTGACTGAAAAAACACCGGAAGCTTGTAAAAATGCCTTAACGAAGGTGTTTAGGCACGTTTACAAGTGTCAAGCACTTGGACTTTAATTAATTTAATTGGCCAGAATAATAATTATTCTGGCCATTCAAATGAATTAACACTCAAGTGCTAAACATGCCTAGCATTAACATGCATTCAGGCGTGTTCACACTCATCAAGTGGTTTTTCTGCCAAAACGCTGCTGCTGCTGGACGCAGTGGTAGTGGGTTTTTACAGCTCCTAAAAGGCCCTGCCACTAAAAACTTCAAAAAGTCTCTGTGTGCATGGACACATAGGATACCATGGAGGGGCGTTTGGAAGCTGTAAAAAAAAAAAAACCAAATCCAACACCCCTAAAAGTGGCTGCAATTCCCTGTGTGCATGGGGCCTTGGAGGTGTCATATGGCTGTTGTGATTTTTTTTAAAAGTGAGCGTACCTAATAACTACGTGGCAGCCATTCCTGCAGTCACTGTGTAACTGTTATTTAATAAACTGCAAACACTGACAGAATTTTGTCTATACTGGGGTTTCTACCAGTACATATCACTTCTCCTAACGCAAACATTCACAGTAGGATATCTGAAGAAAAAGGACTTTATTTGCTTATATGGCAATTCAGAGTATGTGATCAGTTTATGGTTTGAGGACACTTAGAGTGAATCTTCAGGCAGTCAGCAGGCATAAATGATGCCCTTTCCCCCCAGCATACACACACGCAAGGATATAATGCTTGTTTAAACTAAGGGAGCCCTCACTGAGTATACTACTTACTCCTCAGGCACCCACAGGCTTCTTCCCTGCTAGATGACCAGTCCCCCCGAAACCACTGCTCTTGCCGCTTGTGTGGCCTCACCTACACCATCTTGTACAATGTAGAAGGCATGTGCGTTCATTCTATGTGATGAGGTTGCTGAAGTGTAAGGTACTTATCGGGCGGACTGACCATTTGGAAATTCGGGCACTGCCCGAGGGCCCGGGGTCAGTAGGGGGCCCCATGAGATGCCCCTGGTACCTTTTTCATAGGCTTTTTTGAGTTTGGGCAAGGACACGGGCCCCATGATCCCCTATTGCCCGGGGGCCCCATGAGTTGTCAGTCTGCCCCTGGTACGTATTACTCTCTAGTACAATCTAGTATTACTCTCTAGTACAATCCTGGACTAAATGAGCATTATATTTTGTATAAGCGTGTGTGTGTATATGTATGTTGGGCGAACAGATGGAGTTAAAGCCCAGTGTTGGGATTTAAGGTCACGGACTTTCGTGCATTTAATGGAAGGGAACTACTAACACAGACATACAAAGCCATTCATAACGCTGCCCCAAACTACCTCACCGACCTGATACCCAAATACCACCCAACCCGTACTCTTCGCTTCTCACAAGACCTCCTACTTTCTAGCTCCCTGGTCTCCACCCTCCCATGCCCGACTGCAGGACTTCTCCAGGACTTCCCCCATCCTCTGGAACTCACTACCCCAATCCATCAGACTGTCACCTACCCTCCTCACCTTTAGGCGCACCCTGAAAACCCATCTCTTCAGGGAAGCCTACCCCGCCCTCACCTAACAGCCGACCTCCTCCACTCCTCCTACCACTCCATCCCCCACAGCCACTTCCTCCTGTACCACTATCTCCTCCCTCCTAGATTGTAAGCTCGAAAGAGCAGGGCCCTTGACCCCCTCGTGTTTTGTTTTGTTACTGTATTGTCTCATGTTCTGTCCCCCACTATAATGTACAGTGCTGAGCAATCCTTTTAGCGCTATATAAATACTGTATAATAATAATAATGTATGGATAGATTCTGCCCATATAGGCTGCTTTGATTACAGAGGAACTTGTGCCATCTAGTGTCTGTTCAGAACCACAATCATCACTTGGATATGTCAACCTGAAAATATTAGAAGGGTTGAAATCCAGCCCATAAAGTGTATAAAAATGTTGGCATGTGCTGCAGATCACTCGTGACTATTTACATTATATCACATATGGACACTTGGAAAAAAAACAATCTTGTATTAGGCATACTGGGATTGATCTACTAAAGGCAAATTGCATGCTAAATCTGTACTTTGCCAGTGAAGTTGCACTCATTTTCCCCAGAGTTTGGTAAATTTGGTAAATCTCTTCTGATTTCCATCATCCAATCATGTGCATGCTTTTTTAAAATTTTCCTAGAACCTGGTTGGATAGTCTAGGGAAGCTTTACCACATTGACATTTACTAAGAAAAAGTGCAACTCTTTTTGTCTTTAGTAAATCCACTTCATTGTAAAACGTTTTAAATTGTACAGAAAATCATTCCCTTCCCCAAAAGCTTCCCAATGGAAGCCTTTACTGAACGAAATATGGAGGCTACTATGCCAGTCTACATCTGAAAATGCTAAATGCATGGCCAATGCTGGGGCAAGGTCATTTACTGCTTAATCCAAAACGGCCAATGTGCACAACCCCCACCGCTCCGCTGAAGTGGCAGCCTCTCCCACCCATCCCCGTCCTTGGCCTTTGGCATCAGTACTGCCAAACACTGGCCTGGAACAACCGAGAATGTCAGAGTAAAGTCTGGGAGCCCTGCCTGACAACACACAGCCTTTTCATAAAAAA